TTAGATCACAAGTTATAATCGGCAAAAATTACGCCAATTAGTATAACGAAAATCACGTGGTCCAATACTTTTGACTGAGGAGTGTACAATAAAGTTCTTTAGATAGTGTAGGATGACGGGATAACTGATATGAGTAATATATGAGAGTGCTACCTGAACAATAAGTACTTTATTGAAGAATTTTATGAGTAAAAGAGACTTTTAAGGAGGTACGTTCGTGCGCGATCTGATAATTGATGAGCGCTTACAAACAATTAAAAAGTTGTACAGAAATAATTTTTGAATGAAGTACTGATCAAAGAAGGATCGAACACAAACTATCTCGATTCTTACCAAGGATTGGAATAGGAACAGAGGAGAATACGCATTCTTAAAGAGTATTATTACCTCAGAATGACTATCAGAGATCAATAACATGGTTAATATAACTATGAATCACCTGAGACATATTTACTTGTGTGTTTCTGTTCATTTGAAAATTATCAATAATCAAGATGATGTTCATAGAAAGGTAATCTTGCTAGATCCAGGTGTTTGCACATTTATGACAGGTTATGACCTGATGATCAATTAATTGAGCGGGGTAATGGTAAAATTTACTAAGTATTCAAATTGTCCAAGAAATACGACAAATTTCAGAGTTACAAGGATCTTGCTTTGGGTGAGTGTCATCACTAGCTGGCCCGATGGTTATATCACCTAAATTCAAAACATCACATTTGGTTCTCAAGAATAAAAGAAAGATCCGATCAAGGACAGCCTGCGTAATGCTAACCTGATCACATTTTAGAGTTTAGAATATTTTTTTTGCATATAATAAGAGAGTACAAGTATTGCAAGGTCATCGAGTGCACCGAGGAGTTCACTTCTAAGACATGTGAGCATTGCAGACAAATCAATGGCAAACTGGGTGATTTCGATGCAATTTGTGTGACTTTGGGACTTGAATCTTTATGAGATATGATATGACTAACTCTGTTTATTCATGTTGGATTCAATTTCAAGGGTAAAATATCACAATCGCTCTAATATGTAATTCACTAATTTAAATGATTTAAAATAATAATTATAACAATCAATAATACAGTATTCATTTAAAGGAAATTTATCAAAGTCTGAGAGATACACCAAAGCAAAATATTTATTTAATTGACATTAATTTGACAACCTTTTCGTATTACTCTTAAACATGAAATAGCGTCAAATAAATGTTAACATTTTTTTAGCATTTGTAATCGAAAATAAAAAATATAAATAAAAAGGAGGAGCAAGATAAAAAATTGTTTGATAGATTTTACATCATAAACAAAAGTTCAAAATTCGACAAAGTATTTTTGAATTCGTTCCAACGGCAACTCCTAAGATAAGATTGTGATCAAATTGCACAGCATAATGCAACAATTTATTTTGTTTATGAAATACAAATTAAGTTTATTCCCAAATGACGGATGAAATAATAATAAAGAGAAAAGAATTTTCCTTTTAAATGCTTTCTTTTCAAGCGTGAATTCATAAGTCTAGTCGATTAATCATAAAATAAATAATAAAATAATTTAATTTCGTATTAATTGGAACTAAGAACATGAAAATGTAATTGTTTACTAATTTATAATTTTTGAAAGCCAATTTCTTTATTGGAGTTGAATCATTTACCCGATAGGACGTATGGCACATTCGTCTGTTCTTGCTGAAAAGAACATTTATTTTTTTTGGCAGTGTGAACAATGATAAAACGTGTTCAAACGAAGTATTATATCTTGATGTATCGCAACCATTTGGACTAACCTTATGATAAATGTTTATTTGGTGGATACACGAATTACATAATGAAAGACGAATATTCTTTTGTATCAAACGTCTATACTTTTAATTTATATTCCTCATCATGGAACATCCCTAACATTAAAGGAGTTTCACCCAAAAGACGTCAAGTCATAAGT